AACGAAATATCAAACAACAAAATTGAATTTGATCAGTTATTTAACTTGATAAAGGAATAGAAGATGGCATTAAACATTGGTGAATACTAATAGGCGAATCATCATCAGAAATATTGAGCCGAATGTGTGTTAATTGATATTTATCAGAAAAAAAATTGTATATATATGTTTTAATAAACAACTGTTTAGACAAAACATATATGTTATCACATATAATTTGTTTTTATTTTCAGAGACCTCACTTTATATCTCAGGTATTCGACACAATTATATATCCGGGATGCAATACTCATATAAAAATAGATACTGTTCAAAAACGTCCGAATTCGAATATAAGGAATCTCAAATTCTGAAACTGTATATTCAATGTTGAATATGTGCTTAACTTACGTAGAAGCAGTTCAAAGACGAAATTCGAAAATGTGAGTTTCTTGGAAATCAAATATGTTGAGATTTATCACTAAATCTAGAAGTAATATCCACAGGCAAAACAATCATTGCAATTAGAATGAAGAATCTGGAAAGATTCCCTCGTTAGCGTTTACAAATTGTTGGAAATATCCGCAAAAAAGAAATTCGTTTGAAACAGCGTTCCAAAGCACATTTTTATTTGTTATATTACATTTACGTGATCTAGTGATACAGTGTTTGATACTATTCAAATCCATGAAAAGTTATAGTGATTGAAAGAAACTTGTATAACAAACTAAACAAACTTATTTTACTATTGCTAGATGTGTGAGATACTGAACCTCATCTATTTTCTTTCCTTATCTATTTTTTCGACCTCTAATTGCTGAAATAATAATGTCCTACCACAATGTAGTTCAATCGAGACTAGACAACGTCGTTTTATTAAATATATCCATTGGATAAAATTTTCAAAGAAGTCTTACTTTTTTTAATGCTGACCAATTAAAAAATTATGTGTGGATATCAACGCTGTATAAATTTTATCTACAGAAGTGTACGTCTAAGACTATAACTATAGTGACACGAGTATAAGCATACGAGTGTCGAAATTTAGTTATAAGAAGAAAGTATTCTCGAACTGATTGTTTGCATTTTTAATGAAAAAACACCCGTTCCAACATGTTTTACAAAGTGCCCTTAAACTCTAGCAAAAGCATATGGGTTAGAATAAGAAGGCATTCAAACGTAATTTTTTCAACTTTTTTCTCGTCAGTAAATAAGAAACAATTGATAAAACTTATCTTGCTGTTACCTGGACCAGATAAATGTGATATATCTATAATATCGTTGAGGTTTTCATAAAGAGATCTATTCAGAATCGCATAGAGTAACACCACATCTCCTTTAAATCTAGATTTCGCTCTAATTTCTAGTCTTGATTCTGGTAGTCGATCAAAGAAAAGAATTAGTTCCAGTTTCGATAAGCCTGTGTCCGACAGGTAATTCAAACACCTGTTGAAGAAGATTTCTATAAATAAAAAACTCTCAAATTTTAGTGATTTATTCTATTTTTCAAATTAGATTAAAATTAGTTTCAAATCATAATTGATTTGCGACATTTTTTTCAAAAATTTAAGATGAGAAAAACAAAAAACTTATTGATTATGATGAAAAAAATAAAAGAAATTGATAAATAACATTATAACAATTTGAATTTGTTCCATCAAAATGAATATATTTTATATAAGAAAGAAGAGACGGAGAATTACAAATTAATGGTTGTAAGATAAATACACACTTCTTTTAAGCTAAATCTGACTGATTAAAAATATTTCCAAATTTATCTATTGAAAATGTTGAATAAATAACACAATTAATACATCTATTTAATGATCAAAATGATATTAAGATTTTATCTCATGATAAATAGAAACATATATTATGCAATCAACTCTATTAAATTAATGTAAAAGTGTTTTTTTGTAGAACTTTCATATATTTTCGAAGAATATAATGAGTGTAAATTTTAAATCGAAGGTTTTTGACTCCTCTTTTCATTATAGATCTTAGCAACTATTCTATCTTATGTGGTATATATGAGTTCCATATATCGACATTAAATGAACTATGCTAATAAGCTTTTTCAAAAGAATAATAAAACGACTTTTGTTTTTAATTTTGTGAAACACGATCTAAAAGGACTGTTGGAGTCATTGAGTTGTAGGTGTACATTTTCGTGGACCCGAAGAACAAAAAACTGCATCTAGACTCTATCAGCTCCTGGCTTCAACTCGAACAGATACTAACTCAAATTTTATTCCAGCAATATCCATACACTTGAATCTTGTTGCTGTACTTCTCATCTAAGAACTGAGCTTAGTATAATAATGGCCCTTTACTTTTCCTTCATACTCATTGCACTTTATTGGAAGTGATACATTTCATGATCGACATTTATTTACAATAGGTACGGATTCATAAATTGAAACATATACTGATTATTTTATTTTTTATACCACATCACAGTTTCGTTTTATTTCACGTTTTAGTTTCATAGTGTTTGTGAGAAAAACTTTTTTTATTGATATTCTTTTTTAGAAAAACGAATTGAAATGTAATAATCCTTATGGAATGAATAGTATACATGAAAGATTGACAATTACACTAATGATTCTTACTGATATTTATTTATAAATAGATAAACTAGAGATCACAGCGAAACGAGGAATTAGGATGAAAGTTAGACCCAAGGCTTAATTTTTCGTGGCACAAAATAGAGTTGTAAATGATTGATAAGTTTCTAACTAGTGTCGCAAAAATCGTTTATGTATTGATTATCCATTTGATATTCAATTTGTGAGAAGTCTTCAGGAAGATATATCATGTTATACTTATTTACATGTATCAAATTCTTCAAAGATGGCAAAATCATCTTCAAGTACAACTAGAAGAAATCTTTGTCAACGAAATTTTAATCGAATCTGGCAAGTCTATACCATGAAAAAGTTGTCCATTTTGAAGCCTGTTTCGAGCATCGCAATTTTTACAACTCTTTCCAGCGTATAGCCTGCTGCCATATCGATATCGAATTAGACTGATCAGAACTGTTATGCAAAGAAAGACTATACAGTTTCTATTACTATTATGACTGTGACATATAAAAAACCCATGTCTTTCCTTAGACTAGTCACCACAGAGACTTTTATTTCTAGAAATAAACAATATATACGACTGCTTTTGTGTGTATCTTATTTTCAATTGTCTTGTTTTTCAAAACATCCAAATTTCTTATCATACCATGACTTAGATAACCGGCTGACATGTAAATGTTTAGTGTCTGTGCTGATAAAATCTATCATTCTCATAATCAGACTTATAAAATCATGGATAATATTCGTATCCAAAAACATAATCGCCATTGCGACGCGAAGCGAAGAATTTCTAAGGCGTGGGTGTGGCTTCAGATCAGAAGAAAGGGAGAACAATAACTTTCTTAATTTTCACAATGCTTTTTTCGGATCCGTTTATATGCTATTTAACAAAAAGAAAAGTTCCTTTCTTCACGAATGATACTAATATATTATCCAACGTATCTAAATTATTTACTTTATGGTGACGATTGATATTGAAATATTTGTAGATTTCTTTTTCTAAGAAATCAATAACAAGATTAAATTGATATTCTAATTTGTGAGTTAGTTGTAAATGAAGATCAGAGAAGAGAAGTTTTTGTCTAGTTGTTTAGAAGCTGTCCGATGTTCATCCGACCTGAATTGACACCAGAGATGTCCATGGCGGCGCGGCAGCGGCAGGTTTCTTAAAAACTCATCGTGGCAGCGGCAGTATTTTTTTTCGAGGACATTGAAAAACTGCATGAATTTAATAGAATTTCATTGTTTACAAATGAAACACCCCGAGACTGAATGAATCTGATGGACTAGTACCAATATTTCTGGTCCAATACAGTTGCAGCAGTGAAAATCGAAACACTTTTTTGAAAACCATCGCGGCAGCGGCAAGTTTATTACTCATCGCGGCGCGGTAGCGGCAGAGTTTCAGCCGCGATGGACATCTCTGATTGACACCTTCTTTTTCTTTTTTTTCTGTCGTGTTTGAGGAAAATGACGGTAGTATCGATAAGATTATTTTCAATCGAAAAAGAGATTGAGTTTTGACGAAGTGGAAAAAATAAAATATATTAAGTAAAAAAGAGGGAGACAACTACATGTTTTTTTTTCAAAAAAAAAAACAAACTCGAATAATATTTTCTTTCGTTTATCTTTAGTAGATCATTTGAACAAAAAACTTTTATTTAAGAAAAAATTTTTTTTAAAAAAATCCGAATGTCTGTTCTTGTCAATAATTGGTTGATCATTATTATCATTAAATGATGAAACAATTTGATCTAATTCATCTACTATTGCATTTCGATATTCTCGAATTATTTTACCATCTTGTTTTTACTATTGTATGATGTTTATCTCCACATATTTTACTTATTGTTTCAGTATTGTATATTTTCATTTTCGTTTGATGATTATTGAATTTGTTTTTCAATAACACATCTTTCCGATTATGTTGTTTCTCGTTTCATTGTTGTTATTATAAAAGTTCTTGAAAATGCTTCATTAAGATCATGTTTTTCTATAGTAGAGTCAAGATTTTCATCACCATAATGATTATCTACAAAAGACATTAATTTAAGAAAATTCGATTTTAGAATAGGTTTTTATTTTGTTGTTACTTTGAAACTCTTTAGTTGCAAAACTGGAGAAAAGTCAAGTCAATCGAAATCAACGAAGATTTTTTCGATTGGAAAAAAACCATTGAATGGAACATCATCATTATTATCTTCCATTGTAGTTTTTAGAATGAATATTTATTTCTCATTGTTCATTTTTATTTTTATTTTTATTTTTATTTAAATATGAAGAAATCTATAGAAAAAAAGTATATCTTTAGACATTAAATTATCTCTTAGCCGTATTAATGACTTAATTATATAGTTAAACGTGATCAAGAAAAGGTTGGCGGTATGAATATTGAATAGATGCGAGTGGTTTACAGGATTTACTGTCCATTGATTGTTTTTCTTAGAAAATTGTTTTTTTTTTCTACAGAAAGTATAATTTTTGCTGCTGAGGAGTTACTGTCCATTGATTGAATAACTTTTTTTTTTCAATTAGCGTTTTTCTCGTTTGAGGATTTACTGTCCGTTGATTGCCTCGAAGAATAGAAATGAACAGAAAAATATTTATCGCAATCAACTATGTATGTTTAGAGAAAAAAAGAATTCAAACAAATATATGAGGAAATAATAAAGAGAATAAGGAATTGATTAAGGAGGGGGCCCCTCCTCAGAAATGAGTTTCCACCTTTGACGGTCCTTTCAACCTGAAATTTTTACGGATGACTGATCTTGGAGAGATACGCTTCTGGTAAAAATTTCAGCTCGATTGGTCATACTAGACAGGACTTCCAGCTGATTCATGGGTTATTTTTGGCCTTCAGGAAAATTGGAATAACTCCATCATAAGAAGAGATAGAGAGCTCGGGCTGGTTTCAAATTAACATACGTGTCAGTATGCAACTTTTGTTCGAACGGAATTTTCATATTCCGGCCTATTGATTTTTTACGAGCATTTTAGTGCGAGGGTCTTAAAATTAGCATAAAAAATGGTAGTCCAACGACAGTAAATTCCACTTTTCTCAACCCAGGAATCAACTTTCAAAAATCCGTTCGGACAAAAGTTTACTCTGATCGAAACCTTTAAAACAAAAAAAAATATTGGCAATAGCTCGAAAAATGAGAGAAGAGATCCAATTTTTCTGATTGGAAATCATATTCTGAGAAAAACCTTAAAGAAGTTTTAGAAGTGGTTTTCTTCGGTTAAATTCAAAAAATTCATATTAAAGTGGCATATTTTCAATAAATTTTCTAACTATTTTAAGGCGCGTAAAAGATGCAGTAAAACTAACGCCATTTTACACGCGGGTTAATATTAAAATGTTTTATTCAATGATATTTGAAGTAGAAACGGGGTTTTTCCAAAACTGAAAAACTCTAAAAAACTACGAAAATTTCTTGGAAAATATGGTAGGGAAGTTAAAGTCTGATCTGACAAGTCCTTGAAAAACCGATCATTTTCCAAAAATCTATATATATTCTGAAAGAGGAAGCGTCGCTCTATCTTCCTATGGTAAAAACTCAATTTCGATATTGTTTCGAAAAAATCGATTTTCTGAGGTGGGGGGCCTTAATAAATAAACCAAAAAAGGTGAATGGACGTTCAACTTTTTGGTGGACGCTGAAAATATCTAAGTCCAGCAGCTTTTAAGCATGATGGAATATCGAAACGACCTTCATCATAACGCTGGCATAATTTAATTAAACTTTCATCTGTTATAACTTTATTTTTTCGACGCTTTGGAGTTGGAGCTCCCATATTATCTCGTAATCTTGAAATATATGCTAACGACTGTTCTTTTTGCAATAAATCAATTGCAACATAAATATTAGAATGCGGAGCATTTTCATGCTTCTTCAACTATACGATCAATAGGACTAGATCCTTCGATAGCTTTTCGTTTTAAAATTTGTCGCATTTCTAATACTTCTTTATCAGTTTCGTCAGGTAGATGTGTATGATCTTCACAAACAATTACTGATAAATCTAAGTAACTTGTAGCTGTTGTTTGACATTTAACACATATCCAATATTCCGAACCATTTTGATTCTTACGTTTCAAAGAATATCGATAACCGAGGTAGCATAATTGTCGTTACCATGGGTAGATTCAGTAAATATAGCAGACAGTTTTAGGAAGAGTATGATAAGAAAATTATATTCTTTGAATTTATATATATTTTTTATAAATTTTTGTCATATTAATGACTCTTTTACCTCCCCCTCCCCTCAATTTGATGAGCATCCCTCATCTTAAATTGAAAATTTATTCCATAGTTCGCTCATTGGTGACTTTTTTGTTTTTCAATATTTATGTAATTTTTTGTTCAGAAAAGGGATTGATTGTCAAGACCATTACTCATTTATTAATTTCTCTTCTTCGAAGCAATTAATGGACAGTAAATCATCAATCAAAAAATATACTAATTGAAATATTCTATTTTTTCAATCAATGGACAGTAAATTCTCATACAAAAATAGCATTAATTGGAATAAAATTTTTCCAATCAATGGACAGTAAATCCGTGGACAGTAAATCCGTGGACAGTAAATCCGTG